TATATTTGTTTGGTTACTAATTCAGCATTTTTGTCAAAATCACAGAAAGAAAATGATGACTATAATTGATGTACTGCTTAACAGGTTGTGCGGGCATCTGCACATGAACAATTTGCAAGGCTTATTTTGAACCACGATGAAGAGCTGGAATTAGAGCCTGATGATCTGCCTGTAGAATGTGAACTTACAGTCACTGATGCTGAAGAAGATTCTTTGGATTTAAGTAGCAATTCTGAATCGACGGTACATGAAGAACCTCAACTGGTGGGACAGGAAAAATCATATGACGATTGTCAAAATGTTGAAGATTTAGTAACTGAAGCTTCTGTAAAGATGACTTTAGAAGCAAATGCATATTCTCCCAGAAATTTGATAGCAGAAGGTAGCACAGACTACGGAGATTTGACAGAAGCTGTACCAAATTCCTCTGGTATTGAAAGCTCTGCAGTTTGCAAATTGCCTGCAACAACCGGACATGTAGTTCAAACTGTTGCTGAACCAATCTCTTCTAAGCTAGCTGCAATACATCATGTTTCTCAAGCTATTAAATCTCTCAGATGGATGCGCCAACTGCAAACTACTGAATCAAAGTTGATGGACCAGGAGAGTGAATCCCATGATAGGCCACCTTCATCTGTTAATCTTTCTGTTTGTGCATGTGGTGATGCCGACTGTATTGAAGTTTGCGACATTAGAGAATGGCTTCCAACATCAACATTGGATCACAAGTTGTGGAAACTTGTTCTTTTGCTTGGAGAGTCGTATTTGGCACTTGGACAAGCATACAAGGAGGATGGTCAGTTGCATCAAGCTTTGAAGGTTGTAGAATTGGCCTGCTCTGTATATGGATCAATGCCTCAGCATCTTGAAGACACAAAATTCATTTCTTCCATGAATAGTTGTTTTCCATCACCAACAAAATTCAGTTATACAAATAAAAAGATTACATCATCTAATAGTGATCAGGAAGATCTGAGCTCCAGCTCCACTCATGGTTGTCTTTCATTCGAGCAGTTCTCATCCATCTACCTCTTCTGGGCCAAGGCATGGACACTGGTTGGAGATGTTTATGTTGAATTCCATTTGGCTAAGGATAGTATCACCTCTCCACTAGCAGAGAGAAAATATTCTATTAGAGAGTTGAAAGTTTCATCTGAGGTTGTCAAAGAAGTTAAAAGGCTCAAGAAGAAGTTGGGGCACAATACACAAAACTGCAGTTCATGTTCTCTAGTAAATTGCAGCTGCCAGAGTGATAGGGCAAGCAGTGGTAGCAGTGCAAGTAGTAGTAGTGGCGATATGCGCTTGGTAAATTCTGGCAGGAAATACAGTAAAAGACCATATGCTAAGAGCAATGCCTTCTCGCTTGCAAGAGAGACTGAAGTTGATAATCCTTGTTTGAAAACCGAGAGTGGCAAGGTTTCTGGTTGTGGATATCTGCACCAAAAGAGAAATGGTGAAGCCATAGAACAGTCTTCAAATATGGATAAGCTAACAGTGAAACATGTGTCATCTGATAATTCTGACAATTTAGAAGGCACTTTAGGAGTGCATGACATGGGGCCGATACTGGCCTCTCAATCTAATGCTTCTGTGAGAGAAACAACGAAAGTGAAAAATGGTGGGATATTCAAGTTCCTTGGAGGTCCTGCAGTTGGAGATGCTGAAAACAATCTTTCGGAAGCCTGTTGCTGTTACGAAGCTGCTACAAAGGCATTAGGTGGTCTTCCATCTGGTTCCGCTGAACTACAATCTATAATGAAAAAGAAAGGGTGGGTATGCAATGAACTGGGTCGAAACAGACTTGAAAGGAAAGAACTAAAAAAGGCTGAATTTGCTTTTGTAGATGCTATAAAAGCATTCAGAGAAGTCTCTGATCATACCAACATCATATTGATAAACTGTAACTTGGGGCATGGAAGACGGGCATTGGCAGAAGAGATGGTATCAAAGATTGATGGTCTCAAGGGGCATCCGATCTTTCATAACGCATACAACCATGCATTGGAGACCACAAAGTTAGAATATACTGAATCTCTTAAGTATTATGGGGCAGCAAAAGCTGAACTCAATGCTTTTGTTGAAGAGTCTGGCCCTGAATTAAACAATTTGAGGACTGAGGTATACACACAGTTTGCTCATACGTATCTGAGGCTCGGAATGTTCTTGGCAAGAGAAGATACAACTGTTGATGTCTATGAAACTGGAATGATGGTTGACGTGCATGTTGGTTCCACTAGTCCTAGTGGCAGAAAATCAAGAAAACAATCACGAAAGCATGAGATTTCAGCCAATGATGCCATTAGAGAGGCACTGTCTGTGTATGAATCATTAGGTGAATTGCGGAAACAGGAGGCTGCATATTCCTATTTTCAGTTGGCTTGCTACCAAAGGGATTGTTGTTTGAAATTCTTAGAGCCAGATCATAAGAAAAACAACTTACCCAAAGGCGAAAACACAATTCTCCAACGAGTCAAGCAGTATGCATCCTTGGCAGAGAGGAACATGCAAAAGGCCATGGATTTCTACAGCCCAAAAACGCATCCTACCATGTACCTAACTATTCTTATAGAGAGATCAGCTCTTTCATTGAGCCTTTCAAGCCCTTTACACTCAAATGCAGTAAGCTCTTGAACTTGCTTCATACATAATGCATTGAATTTTGCTTGCAACTAATGTCTATCCACCCTTTTTTCAAATTCAGGGACTTGAAAGTATAGGTTATACACATTTGCATGCACAAATGGCACCACATTTAGCTGTACTTGAAATCAAATTATAATATGTATTTTAAATGAGAAGATTGTTTCTGCTATTTATTTGATGAAGTGATAATGCTCCCTTCTTTTTTTTTTAATTTGAGATTTTGTACTATTTTAGGAATTATACAGGGGAATTGAATCCTAAGAAGAGATTTTATTCATCTTGATGACTCTCTAACTTGTCCTGTTTATCGCCATGTAACATCACACTAAGTTGGTTAGGATTGTATTTGATTAGGGAGTTGATCAAGGGATTTAATCTTGATTTTCGGACTGGCCCTATAAAAAAAATGGGATATGATATGTATTCATACTAATGGAAGTTGATCAAATTCCTTGTGGTCTCCTCTCTTTCATTTGTTGGCTATCTGTTCTGCTGCATCAGTCTTCCGTAGTCTTCACATCATGAGTGACAATGTAGAGGCCATTTATGCATTTCATTTGTTATACTGCAATTAATTAACATAGGTAAGTAGACTTAGCACGTATTGAACGTTATGCTATTCTTTATTTGAAGAGTTCATCGTAACTAGGATTATGACTTTATATAATTTTGTGAGGTAGTTCCAGACACAGTTTATATAATCTTGTCTTACTGTTATTGTTTCTGTTACATGTAAAATACTCAAAGAAGCTAAAACATTGCTTGTGCTCCAGATGTTGGAATCAGCTCTGTCTTGCATGCTTGAAGGACGGTATGTGTCAGAAACAGACTCGGACTCTTGGAAAACCGATCACCCCGAGGTACACGCCAAGTTTTGGAATCAGTTGCAGATGATTTTGAAGAAGATGCTGGGTGTGGCACTTTCTTCACGCACAAGCAAATCTTCTGTTTCTCAGCCAGCTTCAGGATCCAGCCGGTGTGGGGATACTGAAAAATTGAGGGAGCTTTACAAACTCTCTCTCAAATCCACAAAGTTAAATCAATTGGATGCTATGCACTCCCTGTGGACATCATAATCTTAATCTGGAAGTCGTTTCTGCGCAACAAACCCTATCGTAATAATACGTCGATAACAGATTGGAGAGAGAGAGCTTGGGTTCTGCTCTGCATATCATAATACCAAAGCATTGCTTCAGGAATTGAAGGGAGAGAGTGTTGAATCTTTGATATTCTGTTACTTGTATTGTATGTATGTATGCATGTATGCACGCGTGTATGTATGGATTTATGTAAGTAATATGTATGCAAGTATGCTTTGCTGGTTGACGGTCTGGTTAGAAAAAATGATTATGAGACTGGAGGGTAGAAGACATGGAGTACCTACATCTAACAAAAGACTCGGTTCAAACCCGAGAACTCATATAGCCAATCTCATTTTCCGTGCAAAGATTTTAAACTCGGGATTAGGTGCTTTCTTCCATGCAAAAAAAAAAAAGGATCTAGGTTTCTAAATTTGTTACAATATAAGAGGACTCTTGGAAAACCGATCACCCCGAGTTACATGCCAAATTTTGGAATCAGTTGCAGATGATTCTGAAGAAGATGCTGGGTGTGGCACTTTCTCCACGCGCAAGAAAATCTTGGGTTTCTCAGCCAGCTTCAGCCTCCAACAGGTGTCTGGAAGTCGTTTCGGTGCAACAACCCCATCGTAATTATACATGTCGATAACAGATTGGAGACAGAGAGCTTGGGTTCTGGACTGCATATCGTAATACCAAAGCACTGCTTCACGAATTGAAGGCTTTGATATTCTGCTACTTGTATTATATGTATTGTATGTATGTATGCATGTATGCACGCGTGGATGTATGGATTTATGTAAGTAATATGTATGCATGTATGCTTTGCTCGTTTTGAGTTAACCAACGCTCCCGTCTCAGAATTTTTTATGAATTCAAGTCCGTGCAAACTTTGTGGATGTTCAGTGGACTAGAATTCAATGTTTAGTGGCCTTGGAAATTTAAATGCTTTGGATAACATGAATTTTCACATGCTAAACGATGACCTATGGATGCTAAGGTTACAAAATGCGGTTTAAGAAGAGGCTCAGAGCAAAAGAGGTAAATGAAAACCTACAAATACTTGGAAAGAGACTTTAAGAAAATACATTTAGTACTTGGAGCTAACTGAAAACTTGACGCAAAACCAAAAACAATAGCGTTATTTAGTGGGATAACGCTTTGTTGTTGGATAACATGAGTTTAAACTTGGCATTAGGTGCTTTCTTCCATGCAAAAAATGGACTTAGCTTTCTAAATTTGTTACAATATAAGAGGCTTCACTTCACAGCCTAGATAATAAAACTCATTTTCCATTAGGCCTTTTGCAATAGGATGTAAGGTACAACAATTCCAACTGCAACACTAGTCAATCACTCTTCAACATTGCAAAATATTTTCCTTCAAGGGAGCTTACCCAAGCGAAAATTCGACATGAAAATAGGAAGAAAATAGCTCAAGATCTATAAACAAGGTCCATTGAAATTCAAATTATACTATTTTCTCATTGCACGCTGCCCCTATTATTGTGGTAATGGCGGGACAAGAGGCATGTTCTTAAGCCAATGGGCATTTTTTCTCGAATTCCTCTTGCTCTTTGCGACATAACTCGAATTCATTTGTATTGTAATACATGCATCCAACATAAGCATCCATCTCTTTCGTGCACTTCTGATGAAGATCTTTCAGCCTGCAAGGACGAATGTCATATTTAGAAATGGAACAAGGCCTGCCTCTCCTTGCTCCACGAAAAATAAAAGAAGCATGTGCTAACATGTTCATCAGTCCGTAAGATGGGAGAACTAAAACATTTTATGCAAGTTTCTTGATGAATTCTGGGAACTCTTTGATAAATTGTTTCCAATACCGTTGCATCTCAAGTTTTCATGGACATCACGCAACTAACTGGATTATCAAATCACCGAAAAAAAAAGTCCAAATCTTAAATAGTGAAAATACAAGAATGTGATACAGAATTCAAAACATTTCGAGAGGAGAGAGAAAAAGGAATGATGATCCATGAAAATTCGTCCAATTCAAAAGCTGTTCGTGAGTATCCAGGGATCAGTGGGATTTTTCTTTTTCATGTTTGGGCAAACACTCCTCTGAACTTAAAGTCAATGGAACCTAATTAATTGGTTACGCGCTTTCTCTAGTGGTTTTAGGCCATTGAATAATTTGTGTAAGTTGGTAAACAATGGCAACTTCAGGATATCTAACAGGATACACCCAAACCCGAGGCCAAGCCCCTATCCAATAGGATACGCCCCTTGTGGTGTTCTCTCAAACCCATGAAGACCACACTCTCACCCTAGAGCAATACCCTCTCTAGTAACCCAAGAGCCAACCCACACTTGTAGCTCTCGCCAAAGAGGTATTCCATCTCTTGTACCGGATGCACTTAGATAAACTCCTTCTAAGCCATGCTTCAAATGACCAAGGCCTCTAGAAATCACTAGCCACTTCCTTGCACCAATGCACTGACTTGCATTAATACATGAAATTTAACCTAGTTGTCCCACTAATGGAATTCTCTAAAGCTACCCATAGTTATCTGCCAATACACCAATTAATCAGCCAAATAACCGTTGAATATTTTTTTGGTCACAAAATAACCATTGTATTAATTACACTACAATGCCAAGAGCCAATTAAGGAAAATACAATGCCTGTCTTCCATTATCAATGCATGTAAATTATGTAATACAACAAGCATTTACCATGTGTAAATTCATGGGAATTCCAAAAGCCATGCAACTCCACTAAGGAGGGACGGTTCCCAATACCATGAGCCGCATTGAGCTCATTTGAGCAATTGAAGTGTCAAACTGTTTATAACCCATGAGCCACATTGATCTCATTTCAGTAATCCTAATGGAGCTCATTTGAGCAATCGAAGTGTCAAACTGTCTATTACCCATGATCCACATTGATCTCATCTCAGTAATTCTAATGGAGCTCATTTGAGCAATCAAAGTGTCAAACTGTCTATAACCCATGAGCCACATTGATCTCATCTCAGTAATCCTAATGGAGCTCATTTGAGCAATCAAAGTGTCAAACTGTCTATAACCCATGAGCCACATTGTTCTCATTTCAGTAATCCTAATCGAGCTCATTTGAGCAATCAAAGTGTCAAATTGTCTATAACCCATGAGCCACATTGATGTCATTTCAGTTATTCTAACGGAGCTCATTTGAGTAATCCAAGTCTCAAATTCTACATAACACATGGGCCACATTGATCTCATTTCAGTAATCCTAATGGAGCTCACTCGAGCAATCGAATTGTCTATAACCCATGAGCCACATTGATGTCATTTCAGTAATCCTAATGGAGCTCATTTGAGTAATCCAAGTCTCAAATTCTACATAACCCATGAGCCACATTGAGCTCGTGTGAGTAATCCAAGTATCAAATTGTCTATAACATATGAGCCCAATCGAGCAACCTAACTGCAGTCTCTAATCAATAAATCACAGACCACTCAAACTTTCCGATTCCAAAGGGAAATAAAAAGGGGGAGAGAATTAGAAATGGCTTACAGGGTAAGAACGCATCGAGTGACTTGGCGACCTTTTTCGAGACATTTCTCAGGGTTCGGGTCCTTCTTCTTGCACTTGAGAAAAGCCACGTTCTCCGCTTGGCAGTTGTACTGAATGTGCTTCGCCGCCGCCGTCAGAACCGCCGATGTTGGGATCGGATCTCCTGCTGGGTCCACTGCGCTTGCCATTTCCCACTTCCCCCGATCGATTCTGGTAAATAAAAAATTAAAATTAATACATAAAAATGTAAATTTTCAGAAATTGAATTGGAAAAGAGAGAGTAGAATTGGTAAAGTCCGCACCTTTACTTGTCGTTTCTGTTGGGTTCTGCAGTGGAATGAGTTTTTCTCACCTGAAACTGAGTGTTAGGTTATGGTGGAGGAACAAAACATAACCCTCCAAAGGCCAAATTTCATTTTTCATTTTTGACCCTTATAATTTCTATAGTTTCAATTGTGCCAATTAGTTTATATTGTTGGAATTCAAAAATTTATCACGACTTATAATTGATGCATTTTTTTGGCGGATATAGTTTATTATTTTTTTCAACAGCTATATTCTGAGCTCAAACATGGAAAGAAATCATCTTTGAATCTCTTTTATTAAGGTCACCGAATCAAGTGATCCGGATTTTTAAAATTTCTTCCAATGACTCACTTGTTTTGATCCCTTAAAAGTTATAATAATTTTTTGCCGTTAGGTGAAGTTTCAAAGGTTCAGACCTCAAACACCTCTGTATCCTGATTTAGGGATGTATTTAATTAGAATTCTGATAAATTTTAATAGAATTATGAGAGTATATTTTAAGAAAAACAGTATAATCAAGATAATAAATAAAATTACAATTTATGTCTATTTTCAAGGAAGCAACATGGGAATCTCACATAGAGGGATATTTTAGTCATTTAATATTCTAAAAAAAAAAAACCAAATCATCAGACCAATAAGAACTAAAAATTGTAATCCGCGAGTAAGAATTGTTATATGTTTAAATCAATTATGACAGAATGGTCTACTTCACACAAATCTCAAAGTAAAACTCTAACAGAGGTAGAGATAAAGATCAAGCAGCCACGACGACTCAAGAGTATATATTCCATCCTGGTGGTAAATAATTTTGGATCCTTTTTAACTTTTTATTATAATTTTTTAATAGATGCTGGTTCGCTGTTGTACATTTCAACAGAAAATCTTGTTTACACCAAATTTTGGGTGGACACGTGTCCAAGTGTTAATTAAAAAAAATCAAAACTTGAACACGTGTTCATCTGAGATTGGATGTAAGCATGATCTCCTTCTGAAATGTTCAGCAGACAAGTTTTATTCTTTTTTAATTCCAAAATTTGATAAAATCCAAAATGCACCAAACTATGGGCAATATTAAAAATTTTGCCGAATTGGCCAATAGGGCATGAAAGCCGAGTTACACCGAAGAAAAATTGTAAAATTGGCACAATGCAAAATGCAACACGAAGAACAAACCTCAACCAAACTATGGGGACCAAGAAGCGAAATTTAGGGGTCTTTCTTTTATTTACCAAATAAACAAAAAGAAAGAAACTAAGGGCATTTCAGTCCTTTTAAACAAATATGATGTCAGTTACAACGCGAGCGTTATGGCATCGTGTTATTAGGGCTTCAACTTCAAGCTCTCAACTCTGAACTGAATCCGTCTCTTCGGATTCCTCCTCGTCGTCTCTTCGGCTTCCTCCTCGTCGTCCTCTCTCTTACAAATTAAATTTTACAACAGTAAGTGCAAAACTCTTTCAACCAATTTCTACCCCTATCTTTTTTCTTTATGCGTTTTTGTTGTTGTAGTAGTTCTGCTGCACTGCTTGTTTGTTTTAAATCTTTTGAATTGGGAATGGTCGCAGATTCACAGGCTCGTTTTTCCAATAGGTGATAGGGTGGTTCTGTATCAGTTTATGTTCTTCCTTGTCACTGACGTTACGATTTAGTAGTATTACTCTCACTGTGTGACCCTATTAACATAGGGAGAGAGTATGGTTCTCCCATTGTGTGACTTAGCGTCATCCCCTGAAGAGTAGAATATCATCGTAAATATGAAAAAACAGAAGCTTTTGTTCTTGAAATAGCCTTTGCCTTTGGTTCCGTGGTTTTTGTCTCCACGTGGTTCATAGGTTTCATGTTTGACGCACATTGATTGTTGTAATGACGAAATATATTTGTGATGAGTTTTATACCTCGTTTTGATCTAGTGTCATTGTAATGACGAAATATGTTTCCTTTGCATGTGCTCTGTTTCTGAGTGTAGAGTTGGTAGTAGTGCATATGACTTGTTTGTTTAGAGGTGGATATCGTCAATTAGAGAAGTACAACCTTAATATTTTGTGGGTATGAAATTATGGGCCACTGTCATTTTAAATTTTTGGTGCAAAGAGCTTTCTTGATTTCATTCTTAATTGAGTTTTACCCTCGTTTGGTGTCAAAGATTGAATTGGATTGCATAACTCACAAGAAACATTGTCTGTTGAAGGAAGAAATGTGTTTCATTCACGACTAGTCCATCCTCTACCTTCAAATTAGACAAAATATGAAAGTTGACATCAATTTCTTCATTCAACGTACATTGAATCTAGTGAGTTATGTAATCCAATCCTAATCATAGACACCAACCAGGCCTAAGTGTTTCCTTTCGGGCCACATTGTACAACAACATGTATGCAGTTTTTCCTTTTTGTTTTTGGGGGGGGGGGGTGGGATATTGATAGCCAATACGTATGCAGTAACATGTGTTTTCTGTTTTCTGTGGCTGATGATTTGCTCTCTGTCTGTGTTGTTTGAAGTAGTTAAAGAATGGCTGGTGAGAAGAAGAAGAAGACTACGATGGTCATTCGACTTGTCTCATCCGCTGGCACTGGATTTTTCTACACCAAGAAGAAGCCTCTTAAGGTGAGGGAAAAGCTTGAAATCCGAAAATTTGACCCTGTGGTAAATCGTCATGTTCTGTTTACAGAGACAAAAGTGAAAGTGTGAGTCTTTTTTTTTCTCTTTGTTCCCTTCGTGTAGGCCTTTTGTTTTAGTTAGACCTAACTCCTCCTAAAAGCTTGACTTGATGAAAGTTGTTGCTCTCTCTTGCTTAAGTATATATAATAAGTTCAAATTTTGATTATTTAATTTTCGGATGAAGGGTTATGTTTGTTAAATTCTCAACTACACCAAATAGAACTTTTGAGTATAAGACCGGGAAGGGCTGCTCTAACCAACAAAACTAATTGTAATAGGGGTTTGAAAGATACGGTTACTCGTGTGATTTGGGGGAAATGGTCTAGTTGGGTTTGAATCCCATCTTTCTCTTGTTGCTTAGGCAACTTAAACCCTCAACATAGTGAGGACTGAAGCGAAAGGCCTAACTCCACGACTATCAAGTACTCTGCTAGAAATCTTGGCAATGCACACCCTCTTTAAAAAGGGTCGACTATTGCCCTTTTGACACTCTTTAAGGGCGTCTATTGATCATTAGACATTCTTTAAAGGCGTCTTGATCATTAGACACTCTTTAAAGGCGTCTATTGACATTTACACCAAATCGGCACACTGCTAAAATATTCGACAGAGTTTACGAGCTCCTACCCTAGTTATATTTCGAATCGACATGTTAAGCGCCTATGCTTAATGCACTTATATTTTGAACAAAGCTTTGCTACTAAAGAATGATAAGAAACTCTTACCCAAAATTCTTTGTGTTCGAATAACAGAGCTTTGGGCTTATGAACAGAATCGTTCATATTATGAATCATTATCTAAATATCACCTTTGCGAAAAATAAATTAAAACAAGGGTTGTTTAGATAATCTATTGTAGCAAAGACATAGACAGTTCGTAATACTTTTATCTATTCCCGTTCATTTGTTTTTACATAGTTCAATAACTCAATGATCTTAATTTTAATTGATTTTTTACAGAGACGATTTTTATAAAGTTATTTACGATATGAATGGTTCTAATTATAAATACGAAATTTTATAAATTAACAACAAACAATTTTAACTAAGAACTCCCTACTCATCTTTTGAGTATCCAAATATTATTCTCATATTTTCCGGACAGTTCAATATTGGTACTCTCAAAGAAAAAATTAAAATAAAATAGAAAACAAAGGAAAATAAAATAGAAAATAAAAATAGAAAATAAAGGAAAGACAGGATAAGGAAGAAGGTGCCATTCCAAAGTGCAGGCCTAAGAGGCAAAAGGAAAAGGCAAAAGGAAAAGGCAAAGGCAAAGGCAAGGGCAGAAGAGTAAAGAGAGAGACGGAGTTACCAAACAAACACAAATTGAAATTGTGATTTAATTGTATAAAAAGGAATGGTAAGAATCACCAAGGCTTTCCTGTCTTCAATTTTGCTTCTGAATCTCATCATCTTCTCTGTGTTCGCCATGGCCGACCAATCTGCTCCCAAATCCGTCGCTGCTTCCTCCGAAACGGCGGTCCACATCGTTTACACCGAACGCCCCCTCGAAAATGAAGAGCCCGAGTCCTATCACATCCGAACCCTAGCCTCCGTCCTCGGCAGGTCTCTCTTCTGTTTGTTTCCTGGGAAAACGAAAGAAAAATGAATTTGTGAATTTGTGAATTTTGTGAACTTGTGATATGCATACATACATATATACGTACAGTGAGGAGGCTGCCAAGGAGGCGCTGCTATACAGTTACAAGACGGCTGCCAGTGGATTCTCTGCTAAGCTCACTCCTCAGCAGGTTGAACAAATTTCAAGTTAGTCCTCCCTCTCTCTCTCTCTCTCTCTCTCTCGTTTTTTTATAGTGTTGATGATGATTATTCTTCTGGTTCTTAGCAAATGTTATTTATTTATCCGATCCCTTGTACTCCTCTTTGACATGGTTAATATGACTGCTTCAAGCTTTATGAGGCGATTGTAATGTTGATGTATGTCAATGTTTCAAGCTTCATGAGGCGACTGTAATTGTAAAGTTGATCTTTAAATTTCCGGTAGCGTATTGATTCTTTCTATTGGGGAATTAGGTGTGTACTGATTGATATAGGTTGGCCTTTGTGGGCTTGTCTTAGTTTTGTTTCGGACCCCATATCCCATCTGTTTCAACAATTGTGGCTATTCTTTGCTTGTTCATTGTTATCACTTTCTGGCATGTTCAGAATGCGTCGGACTAATTTGGTATGGGGGATTGGAACGGAAACCCTCTAAATTCAAGGCATATTGAAGGTAGAGGAGAATGATTTTCATTTCGAGGGGATTAGATATCAAGGAAACTTCTCCCTTCTAAGTTCTAATCCTACCATTTGAGGAGGATTATAATGGATAAGGTTTCTTCTTGAGAATAGTATCTTATCCACTCGAATTCAATTGTCTACACCAAATGAGGCCTTAGAGTTTCAGTTTTGCTCCCACTACCAGGTCCTATTTGACGTGAACTTTATCCCTATGTTTGGATCAAAGTCCCAAGGAGCGTTGACTCATTTGTTAAAAATGAACTACGAGAATATTACTTGTGAACTACTCAAACACTACAAAGCTACTACTCAAACACTACAATTGCGCTAAAGGGACATTTAACACTGGGCTTTCAAAAAGACACCTTTGAAGGAGTCATTTGCAATCTCTCAAATGTGTTGTCTTTAGTCATCTTTAAGGCCCTCCTCTTATTTTTGTAGTGCATTCGTAACAAATTTAGCCTGAGTTCCATGAAACTTCAAAGTCCCTCACGCACTCTCAAGTTTCATGCCTTGAAATTCATAAGATGCTATTTTTGGCATACCCAAATGTGGGAAAAACAAAAATAAATAAAATAGCAAATGATGTTTTTACTATTTATCATTGGTTGCATAATCTTTGTAATTCTCTTATCCTGTTGTTGATTCAGAGTCTTTGCAGTTCTAACTTCTAAACAAATCAAAGTTACCTGATGTAATTATTTAAAAAAAAAACTTTTATGCTACTATTGTTGCTCCAATGAGTATCTTAGTGGTAGAACATCTACTGTTTCCTTGTTGATTCACATTATAATAGATTACTTTTGTTTAACTTAGGATATACAATTGCTCATGCTTAATACCGATGGCTGACAGCCTGAAACTGTATTCCTTCTTCTTTTTTTGTCATTGTTTTTCTTGTTGTTGTGTATGACTACTCTTAAGCACATGGCAAATGTTGCATAATCTTTCATATAGTAAATTAATTACCAGTATCATGGCATTTGTTTGTGTCTCTAGGCTGGCATTGATATGAAGTACTGGTGTTATATGATAATTACGTCCATGATTAATTGCTCAAGTGTTTCGCTTTTCACATTTTGGGTCAATTTCAGCGTTTCATCTATTTGCTATGACAGATGAAGAACATATATGAGTAATTCATTTTTTTATGCTAGGAAAACTTTAAGGCATGTGCATTGCGAAAGTGAGTTTAATCGTTTCTTCTTCCAAAAATAAACGCCAAACAAAAGAGAAAAATCCATTTTATACGAAGTTTCTCAATGATGCACACTTTTACGGATTGTTGAATTACAGCTATACTTCTTTTATGCAAGCTATGAGCCCGGTAAACCAGCCGGTTTCAGATTATAGAAATAAATACTCATTGTTTTGTTGTCTACTCGATATTGGCAGAGCTTCCTGGGGTTCTTCAGGTTGTACCAAGCAGGACACTCCAGCTGCATTCAGGACCTGGAAAGCTGCAGTAGAGGAACTGAATTCCATAGTAAGAAACATGTTTTAAACTTAAGTATCCACCGTGCTGTATAAGACAATTAACTTGTTTACTCTTGGCATGCTGTCTACTTTTTCCATAATAAGGTTGATAATATATGTTTTAAGAGTGCCGCTCCTACTTATGTAACTATGATACGTTGTATATATAGTTTTCGTAGATTACTTAATTCCTAGTTAAGTTGCAGATGTAGTAATTTGAGCATTCGTCTGGTTCCTTAGGAAATATAAGATGGATGACTATGCTTATGTTCCAAAGATGACTTGTAAGGGTGCATTGCGAATGTCAAACATTCGGGCCCAGGCTATAGGTTTTTAGTTTAATTTGGGAAGGCCTTGGGTCAATCAACGTGATGGGAAGGGTAGGATTCAGATGAGGTGATGGAAAAATTAAAAGAGTGAACGAAAAGCACCTCATAGTGAGAGGATGGATCATTGGATTCGGGAAATGGAGTTAGATGGACTGGGTACACCGCCGCGGTGGGGTCTTGTTCTTTAATAACACAATGTTATGTGGAGTGAGAGGAACATGTAATATTGTTTGGACTGCGACGCCATGGGTAGCCAGTCCATCTAAGTTGCTCTACGTATTAAGAGGAGGTTTAGCCTAGGTGATGGCGTCATCATTCAACACGAAGACTTGCCAATGTGTCATTATTCGACGGAAAGAAGCTCATGGAGAGGGAATCATGTCGGGGGTGGCGGGGTTTGAGCTACACTGTAAGCTATTTGTAGTTTGGTGTTGAAATCATTGAGAGCTCAACTTAAGATATTTCATTTATAAGTGGAGAATAATATCATTTGCGTAATATCAGTGACCAAAAGAGAATTCTAGACAGTAGAAAATGTATTGGGAGTAGTAGGTTGGCTTGAACCACACAATAGACAAGTAAGAAATTGATTTTGAACCTGCGATGCATGTGAGTCAAAATTGAAAAGCTCGTTAAAAAGTGGACATGTGATTGGCATGCAACATTGTTTAATAAGAAATAGAATGAATGTAAAACTTGGTAAATTGGCAAATTAGTTGAGAAGTAAACTCATAATTTCGTCATAGTTCATAGGCTAAATTGCATTTACTCCTTTTTTTAATCTACTCAAAAGGAAGAGAGTAATCTTTACTTGTATTATGGTCCATTGATGTTTCTCGTTATTTATAAACGAGAGATTCAACTTAAAGCATGTGTACTTAATATAACTTATGACTCGTTTAGAAATATTTTTAAAATGACTATTTGATAAAAGTAATTTTGAACTTTGAAAGCATTTAAGTAATTTTTTTTATAAGAAATATTAGATATGTGCTTCTTACATGAAACACTAGATATGTGTTTCTTGCAGAAAACACTTGATGCTTTTTCAAGATTCATTTTGATTTTTACTAATGTTTGGTTTTAAAAATATTTTCAACTAAAACATTTTCAGTTATTTTAAAAGTACTTCTAAAAATTGTGTTTTTAGTTACATTAAACCCGCAAGACATGTTTTGATTTATTGCGGTTAATAACATGTCTCCACATGACTACACACGTGAGAAAGTAAAGGGGAATAATTTAGGTTGCTTGTCGTCTTTGTCGTAATTATAATTTGCTGACGTGGAGGGAATGTCGGGTAGAGATGAGAAGATAGACGGAGGGCGCGCGCGAGCGCAACAAAGCAGAAACTGCTACGTGATATTTATGTATTAAAATATTAATAATTTAAAAAATAAAATTTTTTACTATCTATGTTTTTGTGACAATGAAAAATTTCTTTGGAAGCAGCATACAGTTACAGAACCCCATGTCCACGTGTCACACCACAAACAGACAAACTCACATCCTCTCTCCCTCCCTCCAATCTCACTTTCACCCAATAAAAAAAATACTAGATAATAATTGAGGCAGATTCAGGGGGTCTGATAGTTACCAATCAAAATCCACAAAGGGAGAGAAGGAGGAGAGAAACAGAAATAACAGTTTCAGAGAGCGAAGGAGGATGATGGAAAGGATCGAATCACAAATCACAACTAAAAAAAAAAAAAAAAAATCAGAAGAAATTCATCGTTATCGGAGAAGAGAATCGAATCGAAAGAATGAAGAAAGGATTGCATTCCCAAGCAGGGAAGCTTCACACAGTACTGCCGTACGAAACGCCGCGACTCAGAGACCATTACCTCATGGGCAAGAAATTGGGCCAAGGCCAATTCGGCACCACCTACCTCTGCACCCACAAGCCCACCGGCGCCCAGTTCGCCTGCAAGTCCATCCCCAAGCGCAAGCTTCTCTGCCAGGAGGACTACGACGACGTCTGGAGGGAGATTCAGATCATGCACCACCTCTCCGAGCACCCCAGCGTCGTCCAGATCAAGGGCACCTACGAGGACTCCGTCTTCGTGCACCTCGTCATGGAGCTCTGCGCCGGCGGGGAGCTCTTTGATAGGATCGTCCGCAAGGGGCATTACAGCGAGAGGGAGGCGGCCAAGCTCATCAAGACCATCGTCGGGGTGGTGGAGGGCTGCCACTCCCTCGGCGTCATGCACCGCGATCTCAAGCCCGAGAATTTCTTGTTCGACACGCCTTCGGATGACGCCACGCTCAAAGCCACCGATTTCGGCTTGTCCGTCTTCTACAAACCAGGTTCAGCTTCCTTTCCAATCCGATCCACTTTTACTTGGTTCTTTCTTTCTTTTTATTAAACCGGGAAATGGAAATGTTGGTCTGCTATAGCTTTTGAAAATATTTCTGATTATTTCTTCAACTATTTAATTTTGCTGAATTGAATTTCTTGTGCCTTGTTGTGTACTCAATCTTTAGGGTTGCTTGATTTACACGTACATAGGTTTCTCTACTTAGTCTTGGATATGATGAACAAACATAAACTCCGCGGCTCCACCTACGAGGGAGGACGAAGGAGCTATTTCCCGGATATTGCTTTTTTCTTTTTTTTCTTTCTCTATGCTATATATTACATCACTAGATTCAACAATATTAACGTCCTTTTGGTTGGGGATGGATGGCTCATCTGTCATGGTATTGATATCATAAGAAGGAATCTACGTTTTATTCAGTATGCCAATACATTCGGTCATTCCCATGAGCGAAATTACTCATCAATCTCTATGTCCACGACAGTCCGTCTGCATAAACATAATTCCAAATGTATTGCTTTGCCAGAACAATGCTTTTTTTTTTTTTTGGTTTCCAAGCCAGTATACAATTGACGCCATCACTATCCTGTATCAAATGCGGCTCTCCCTTCTGTTTTTCTCTTCCTCCCCGTTGAAGCTTGAACGGTGTTTTTGTCATGCATAAAGATGGTTGGTTATGTGCTCTGCTATACCTTTTCTTGTTCCAGGACAAGTTTTCCAGGACGTCGTTGGGAGTCCCTATTATGTTGCACCTGAGGTGTTGAACAAGATTTATGGACCTGAAGCGGATGTATGGAGTGCTGGTGTGATACTTTACATCCTCTTAAGCGGGGTTCCTCCTTTTTGGGCAGGTACCGATCCTCAACAGTTAATAAACCCTTATCAGTGAGGCTTGACCTTTATTAACATGTTTGGTTCTTTTGTTGTATCGTGAGCTGTTTAACGTTTCAATATGTATCTACAGAAACTGAAGCAGGGATCTTCAGACAGATTTTACATGGCAAAATCGATTTTGAATCGGAGCCTTGGCCTAATATTTCCAAAAGTGCGAAAGATCTCATGTGTAAGATGCTTGAGAGGAACCCAAAGAAAAGAATATCCGCCCATGAAGTCCTATGTGAGTGGTTTAATACCTACTGCTGTGCTGATAAATTTTTATGAGATTGTTGCATAGATAAGGTTATATCCAAATGGTAGCTGTGTTGAAATCTAAAATGGATCTTTTCAGGTCACCCCTGGATTGTGGACGACAGAGTTGCCCCTGATAAACCACTAGATTCTGCGGTTTTGTCCCGCCTCAAGCAGTTCTCAGCCATGAATAAGCTTAAGAAGATGGCTCTTCGAGTATGTCTTATTAATGTCTTACCATATATCATCTTTTTATATATCTATCATTCTAATACATTTTCCACGGTAACCTTGCAGTCAATTGTTAAATTCATTTATCACCCAATGTGAGAGTTACAATTCATTCTGTCAAGGCATCATAAGTTTAAGATAACAAATAATATAATAACTTGTGTAACAAGTATTTTTAAAATGGTAGTAACATGATATGGGATGGACTTGGGATTTCATTTCACCTGAAAAACATCGGGTTACTGTAACGTAGACACAGTTTATAGTTTCCAGATCAAAACTCCATTTATACACTGCATTCAACATCAACTGGAGTTGTAGAAACATCTATAGGATATCCAATTTTTCCACCAAAGAAATCTTATGCAACCAATACAGTTTTTGTTTGACAATGATCAAGAAGTGTTCCTTGCAGTGCACATTGTATTATATAAAGGCCGGTCTGAGCAGAAATAGCATTTTTGACTAATTAAAAAACTTTTCACTTTCCTTATAATACATGTGTTATCATAAATTGTTTGTATCAACTTCACAAGATGGGTGTATGTTGTGATAGTGTTTGCCGTTGTAATAGTGGTTAAATAGATGTGAGACTAGGGGAAGACCTCTCATTTTCTGTTTAATTCTCTAATCGATAAATATGTAAGGCCATAGTGAAGTAGGCAGACAACACTGATTTGTTATATATATGATTAGTTATGGTTAAGTAAGAATACCTGAGTTTTCACTCAATCAGCAGTGAGAAGCCATATGTACGTTATTGTTCAGTATTGGACCAACTACCTCTGTTATTCTTTATGTCAGCAATTTGTTTCTACTTATACTGTGACCAGTTCTTTGTTTCGGTGATGGTGTAATGTAGATCACTGCGGTGTTCTTGTTTTCTTTGCCCAGGTTATAGCAGAAAGACTGTCAGAAGAAGAGATTGGTGGATTAAAAGAATTGTTCAAAATGATCGACACAGATAATAGCGGGACAATAACATTTGAGGAACTTAAAGAGGGATTGAAAAAAGTGGGCTCAGAGCTAATGGAGTCTGAAATCAAGTCCCTTATGGAAGCAGTTAATAGATTGATCCCCATAAACTGGCTGCATATTACGAAGTTTTCAATATTCTTCTGTTTATGATCTTAATAGATCTC